AGGGGGCGCACGTATAAAAAAAAAAAAAAAAAAAAAAAAAACAGGCCATGTCATTTAGGCAGTTTAAAAAGAGGCATTCCCCCTCTCAGTCAAATTTTCACTTACTAAAATAGTGATGTGGATTTCATGGATACTTTAGATTTACCTTAAACTTACAGAAATTAAAATTAAAAAATATATAAATAGTATCCAGATAAAACAGCGGTTTTCCATTTAGTTCCTCCCCCATCACCTGTCCACTCAATACAGTAAGACATACTACATAGAACTCAGCTGGGACAGAGATAATTGTAAGGGAAGAAAAGCTCTCCCAGCCTTCATGTGTTTCTTCCTGATGGCCATGAGACTGCATCAGGCTAAGCTTCTTATCTTAATGTGATAATGTAGGCAAATCAATTGCCTGTTTTGATAACTGAGGTCTTCTGAGACTTTCCTCTTTTGCACCAGTTACAGTAATTGAAACTGCTCACTGCTTCTCTTTAAGAGAAGGAATGAAATACAACAAACGTTTCTAATAGTTATGTAACACTTCAGTATACCTCAATAAGGCAAGTTGTCTTAATATTAAGTTAATACAAAAAGTACGTTTCTGAAAATTTTTTCCTATACATTTTTGATAACTTGAATGCTACATACTCAGTTGCACTGTCTTGATGATTTCGGTGCCCAATCCTTTTGTTTTTTAAAAAAGCTACTTTTGTACTGAAATATTGTTTCTAAATTCAATAAATATAGTAATAATATCAAATTTTAAAACTATATGAAATGGGAAGTTAGTCTCAATTCTGTTAAAAGTTTTGCCAGTAATTATTTTGGTGTATTATTCTGACACCTATTATTTCTCACAAGGGGCAACATTTTGAGGTAAGATGGCTTCAGAGAAGATTCTCTGACTGAATCTTGCAGCTTGCAAAACACTTAAATTGAGAAGGTTCAACTAAACAGGCCACCGTTTAACCTTTCTCCTGGCCTCACTGGAAGCTAGTGCTCCGGAGGGCGAAAACACAAAACACAAAAGGCGTTCACAAGTCACTGGCAGAAAGGTCATCCTCTGGTTTATCACCTTTTCTGATAACACAGATGAGTTTTCACAAAACCTCTAAGGTAGAAACCGGCTTACATTAAGAAACAGAATTGTATTCCCTAATCGTGCGTAATCAACTTTTTTTCTTCTCATCTTCAGCGCTGCAAATACCCCATCCAATCGATTCTGGAGCCTAAAACTTGGACTGGAGCCACTTGGCTCTCTGGATGAAGAAACATCAGATAGACGGTCGCCTCCTTTCTTCCTTCTATTATTCTAACATGTAAATTGCGGTCTTGCGTACTGCATGTATCTTCGAAAATACTTTATAGTAGCTGACCACCCACCCACCTTCACTTCACTAGCAAGTGTCCAATTGGCAACGCTCAAAGATAATAAAGGCAGCAAAAACGCCCCTGCGGGCTATCACATATTTTTAAAAAGTGGATTAAGGACAACCAGAAACGGGCAGCTCTGACACGCGAGGCCACCGTCCCCCGCGCGGGTCTGGCGGAGCTCAGATCCTGGGCCCTGCTCGGAGCCCTCCAGCCTGCAGCGCAGCCTCCCCGGGCCTCACCCCTCGGCGGAGGCTGGGGCGGCGGACACCGCCGTTGTCCCGGGTGCCGTCCTGCCGAGGGCAGGGGTGGCTGGGCTGCGCGAGAGTCGGGGTGGAGGTGACACCGTAGCCGGAGAGTTGCGAGGGGAAGGCGACGGTAGCGCGAGCGGAAGGAGGCTGCCGCGAGGCTGTTTTCGGCCGCGGCGCCGGCCGAGAAGCAGCCAGTTGGCGGCGCCCAGGGCGCGACAGGCTCCTCGGTGTGGAGAGCGGGCGCGCGGCGCCGGGCGCTCGGCGTCCCGGGACTGTCGAGTGGGCGGCGGAGGTGGCGAGGAGCGAGCGCAGAGGCCGCTGAGTGGCCGGCCCGGCCCTCCGGGGGCGGGGGGAGGGCCGAGCGAGGGCGGGCGCGCACTCACCTATGCACAGCTGGATGGCGTAGGCGTAGTAGGACCAGCCGAGCAGGAGGCTGATGAACACCACGGGGATCCAGTACAGGACCCGCCGGCACCGCCGCCTGACGCTGCCCGGGCCCGAGGGCGCCATCTTCCAGCCGCATCCACCTGCCCAGCTCCGCCGCCGCCGCCGCCGCTGCCCGCGGGCCTGGCTCCGGGTCTGGCTGGGGGGGGCCGCCCG